ATTATTATTATTATTATTATTATTATTATTTCAACCGTGTCTTCCAACTACACCCCCATAAGGTAAATTTGGGATCAATAAGGGTGGTATCGGGAATGTTGATCAACATACGTCATGCGCACGCGTAAGAGCGAGAAAATTCGCCATGTTGTTGGGAAGATGTTTGGGAGTGATTAGCATTTCATGAGTTTTTGTTGTGTTTCATGAAGATTCTTCGAAGGATATCAAGAATAAGAGGTAAATTTAAGACCTACAGTTACTGTTCTCTATTTCAGAGCCGTATAGTCGTGATATCCTGGCGCGAAACGCAAACAATTTTCGTTTCGCATGCTGTACATCCGTCGGACAATAGCTTCTGCCGTAATATGGTGCTGTAACGTCCGATCGCATGTAGTAGCTCGCTGAAATAGCTTCATATTGAAGACTCTTTCTTCGAGTTAGATTTTTTAAAAGGTTTTATGGCTCATCTCTTCGAGTTTGTAACAATGCTGTAACTCGATAAATTCTGATGCCATGGCTTCCGATGTTTTCGGTCTTGAGAACAGAATTGCAAAAGAAAGCGAATCTATCGGACAGGCATGCATTTACGTGAAGATCAAGGCGATTGGACCTGATAATCCTGGACCATATTGTTTTTTTCTTTCGCCTTGATCGTAGTCACGTAGCTTTGTAGGAGAATTTTGCCCTAATCTATGATGAAGAAAATTTAAATACAGGCGGCGGACGCCGTTTGTTTAAGTTCTCTTTTGTATTCGCAAGGAAATGAGTGGCCATGTTCGGGCGCACCCCCGAGGTTCTTTCTACGTCGCCACGATCGACACTATTCAATGGTTTGTTTCTGCATGTTCAATTTAGGGAATTCTCCAGACAGACTGTCGCTTTACGGAAAGATTGAGAGAAAATTACCGGTGTCCTGTGATAGTCTCGTGGCAGCTCGTGAGTGTTGAATCGTTAGATAGTGAGGTGTATGCGATTTTTTTACGTCCGGAATGTGTACCACAAAGTGGTTTTATTCTCCGTTGCCATTATAGGCAATGACACTGACCTTGTTTGAAGATGCTTTGTCGTCATTGTTTTTCCTCTTTCGTCTCTCAGACGTAAATAACTATCAGAAACGGAGACAGTTATTAAGACCTCGTAAACTCGTCCTCGCTGTGACACTACGATTTGGCTCGACACGAGAGATCGATTCGAAAATTGCTCCGATTTAGATCGATTAGTTTCCGGTAAAAGAGGGCAAAAGGATTATCACCCAAACCTTTCGGAACTTTTATTCTGTATGCCGTGTGTAAGTATTTCTTTGCTTTATTTTCTCGATAAGGAAACCAGTGTATGTTAAATGGTTTTCATAACGCTACATATTGTATCGTGATCTAGCACCCATGCATCATCTTAGATTGTACCTGGTCGCCCTTGCGATTAATATCGGAACATTAATACACATTGATGATTTTGGAATTTATTTCTTATTCTTCAACTCTAAGTACCTCTCGATCGACGATCGAAGTTTTAGTTTCTTTGGGCAGTTCGTACGTGCTTCAGTTTTGGTTTTGTTATTGTCTGCTAGGTATTCATAAAGATCGTTTTCGAGGATAATTAAGCACATTGCATTCCATGTACGTGTTAAACACTGAAATGATGTCACCTTTAATAGAACGTTGCTACCAAGTGTGTTGTTTCGTTGGGCAATACGATTGCAATCAAATTCTAGTTGGGATGTGAAATAACACGGAATCCTTTATTGTAATGTATCTCTTCTTGCATAATCCTTGTTTTGTCACTATTGTTTAGAACTGACTGTCCCAAGAAACGTGATGTTTTGAATATCATTACCTCTGAAACGATCATGTCAAACTATAACACTTAAGTAATGAATTTTTAGCCAGTGATTCTTGTGTTTGTGACAATATAATTTCTAGCTACCTTAATATTTGCAATGTAGGTTGTGTTATATTTGAATTATTCCCCAACATCAAGGGTACATTTTTAATAGAATCAAGTAAATATTCAATCAGTAGGTGTAGATTCATGAAAAGCTCTTAATCTGTTCAGCTTTAAACTTATGAGGCAATGATTATTTCTTACAAGACAAGGAGCCCCTTTGCTATTAATTTTTGTTGAGTTCAGAAATTTGATATCACATAGTGTTTGACCACAGTAACAGTTTGACTCCCAGAGAGTTTACCATTGTGGTTAAATTTGAGTTTGCCTTCCGTATTAACCTGACTGCTTTAGTTACACTTCTTGGTATTTGGATTTGGTCTGTTTCAGTCTTTGAGACTAACTTTAAAATATCGAAAATGTTATTCTATTTTTGAAAGGTAGACATATTTAATGGTGTATTTTGATTTAAACTATTTCTTGATAGTGCCTTTTAAGTATGTTCTGTTTGTCAGGTAGTTTACCTTTATTCATGGATTTTTTTTCCAAGTTCTTCTGTGGTTTTCCTTGAGGTGAAGGATGTTGAGATCATCATTTTCTGTTTCTAATCAAATGAATTGTGAAATGAAATGTTTTGTAACCTTTGGTTTTATATGCCTTTGTTGCTGTTCATGGTTTTAAAAATTCAGTGGTGGATTACAAATATTTAATTTTTAATTTGTCCATTGTTTGCAGTCCCTTAGGTAACCCTAGTTACTATTTAAACTTTAAAGAAGATTTCATAGTTTGATTGTAGATTAAAATGTTTCGTGTTCTTGTTCAGGAGAACATGGTTTCCAAGTAAACAGGGTCGCTATATAGCCTAAGGAAAATTTCTCTGACTCAGGATACATGATCACAATGTACATGCCCATAGCAGCTCTTAAACTGGTATTATATATTTGTACTCCTGTGACTCTATAAGCAATGAGCAATATCAAATACTGCAGATTTAGAAACATATTCTCGTTACTTACTATACTCAAACTGAAATAATTTTCCAGGGGTTAATAGCTAGAGTAATGTGCTTTTTTAGATCAAAAAACATTTACACTGCCAGATTTTCTTGGTCAAGTTTTTTTTTATGTAACAGTTAACTTATGAGGAGAAAATATCAAGGAAAACTTTTCAATGAAATTTCTTCATTATGGAAAGTATTCTAAAGTATTTGACAAGTTTTACCCCATGAAATCTCTGTATAAACCATAACTAAACATAAAGAGACTTATAAGGGGAAAACTGAAATTTTATTGGAATTTACACTTTCTCAGAAACCCTGACAAGGCAAAACATTGTTTTGCAGAATGCCTTTGCTACTTAAAAATTTTTAGGACTTTAGAACTGCAAAGGTATCTTGTAAATAGTTTTGTAAAAGATGCTGCTTTTTAAGAAGAATTATATTTTGCTGTAAGGGTAGTCTGAATTGCTATCCAATATAATGTGCTCTTAGGTTTAAAACCTGTGTTTAACAGTTAAGTACAAGCATAGACTTTTTTCGGAAATGTGTAATGCAGCTCAAGCTTGAAACTATCCATAACAATACAGTTTCCAGACCAGTGGCTGAATTCTTTTTCTATAAATTGGGCATAAACAAGAGACATCACATTAAGACTTAGGGGATTGAAGACCACAAACTCCATAGTAAATTCCCCAGAGTCCCATGCTGAGGTCTGTAATTTCTTTAAGAACATTTGTCTGTATAAATTGGGATATCATATTTATGATTAGATGAAATAACTGTTGTACCTTAATCTCTCTGTTTAGGCTTTAGACAAGAATTCTTTGTTACGCTGTGGACAGAGGGATCCTGATGCGGCTATGCCCTTGGCAGGGCATGGAAAGGGAGGATTCTTTAGGAATTCGGAATATTCGGGCTTGTTTGATGAGCAAGACCCAGAGAAACTCTTCATTGATCTGAGAGAAATTGGACATGGCAGCTTTGGAGCGGTTTACTATGTAAGTCTTCCAAAGTTCAAGGTTCTGTTTTGATGTACAACTTCTGCACAATATTGGTTCATTATCTAGAAAACAGTTGTTGAGAATTTTAAAACTACTCAGCTGAAGAGTGTTACTTGTGTCTTCATTAAACCTTGATCTCTATCCTCAACTTGTACTGTAAGGTTTGGTAATTGCATTTCAAGACACTTTATAAATGCTGAAAGGCTGTCTTGTCTTAATAAATTGCTTTCCAAAATTTCACAAACAGTTGAATAAAAGCAGGTCAACAAGGTACTCTTGGTTGTGAAGGGTATCAATTAATTGAATTTAAAATTTGAAACTTGTTGTCCTTAGGCCAAAAATGTTAAAACTAATGAGGTGGTGGCAATCAAGAAGATGTCCTATAGTGGCAAACAGTCCAATGAGGTAAGCAAAAACAGATACAGTATCAAGGATTTAGTTCCTAATTTCTAGACACTCAATTCTTGATACTCAATACATGAGCTTCAAGCCTCAATTCTCAATTGTCAATCCACAATCCTCAATTCTTGATGGCTTTTGAGGACTGAGTTTTGAATCAACACTGTCAACTTTCTTTTGAGTGGTACTCTACATGTGCAAGTAAGTACTCTCTTTACAGGGAGGGAGGGAGGGACAAAACCTTCATTATAAACACAGATTTATAATCATTTACACATATGCTAAGACTTACTCCCAATCATATTAGTAAAGAATGGGAATCCTTACTCGTATAATCTTACACATTTTAAAAAATGACCCATGGCATTCAGATGACACTTTCAAATGCATGCAGTTGTGCATATTTGAAATTTTCCAAAACTGTGAATACTACCCTTAATTTTTACATTATAGGTGAAATTTCTAATGCAACTGTTATCTCTTATGAATATTGTAGAAATGGCAAGACATTGTGAAAGAGGTTAAATTTCTAAAGCTCTGTAGCCACAAGAACACCATTAGCTACAAGGGATGTCATTTAAAGGAGCATACAGCATGGGTAGGTTGTTAAACATACATGTAGGTCTTGGTGAGACCACAACTAGGTGATTGCAATATTTATTTTAAATATGGAAAGAAATATTCGTCAAACATAAGCAAAGCGCACAAGGTATTTATACCGTGAATCTTACCTTGAACAGAAAAGTTTTCACACCTTTTCTCTTGTCTTTGATTGCAAAGTAATCTAAAGTAGTGTTTGTAAATAGAGGTACTACAAATATGTTCAGATGTCAATTATGTCCTTTTCTCATCTTTTAGCTTGTTATGGAGTATTGTGTTGGTTCAACTTCAGATATTTTAGAGGGTATGTTGAATGGTTTTTTTCTATGATTGACTCTGGTTCATAACATACAAAATCTTGCAAATTTGTGTAATACTGTTTGAACATATCATAGTAGGAACATTTCTTTGCTTATTTCAGTGTAGCTGGAAATGTTATAAGCTAATTTGATTTGAATGTTCTTTTTTTATACAGTTCACAAGAAACCACTTAGAGAAGTAGAGATTGCTGCAATATGCCAAGATGCTTTGCAGGTAAGCATGTTACATCAACAGAGTGGTATCATTAAAATTGCCCAGATACTTGTTCATTGTTTTGTTTATCTAGGTCATTAATGTTCCATGTTAAAGCTTTTAAGCTGTCGATGATTCTCACAAATCATTAAGTTTTGGTTTGTTTGTTTTAGGGTCTAAGATATCTGCACAGAAATGGAAGAATTCACAGGGATGTGAAAGGTAAATGAGAAATAACTTTTTTTTAAAAATTTTAAGACTTTAAAAACTGATTGATTTTCTTAGTTTGTATCACTTGATGCTGAGGAAACAGGTTCAGATAATTTAGGCAGAACTGACTCTTTTTCTTGCATGTTTACATTAAAGCTGGAAATGTTCTTTTGACTGAAGATGGAACAGTCAAGTTAGGTGAGTTGTACCTTATTTTCTTTCTCTGTAAACATTTGTCCTTTAAATTTGATGCAAATAATAAGTAAGTAAACTATTTTCATTTTTTTCTTCAGCTGATTTTGGTTCAGCAGCTCTAGCAGCTCCAGCAAATTCTTTTGTGGGCACACCATATTGGTAAGGAATTTAAGCCAGCTTGTTATATGGCCTCTGTTTTCCAGTGTATAGTATTACTAACTTCTCAACCTTTTATTGATTCCATGAAGTTGTTGTATGTGTTGTGGTTCAATTTTATCCTTGCTTCAAATTTTATTTTCCTTTGTTTCAAACTCATTACCATACATTACAATACCCAAAAGGGAAAGAAAATAAAATGTGAACCAAGGATAAAATTGAACCACAACATATGTAAGGCCTGACATGAGATTTTTTCCCACTCTAGAAGTGCCTGTATGGCTCCCTGTATCTGTATCTTCCATATAGCTCTCTCAGCCTTAAAGATAAACATGTGTCATCATACATTATGTGGACAAGACACATTTTGATATAGTTTCACTCTTTGCTAGGATGGCTCCTGAAGTTATCTTAGCCATGGATGAAGGACAGTATGATGGAAAGGTACCCACATTTCTTTGCTGGCAAAGTTATGAGAATTTCTTGGGCTGTCTAAACAAAAATATAATTTATTGGTTGGGAAATTAATTCACTGATAACTCATGGAGGGTCAAACGTATTTCCTCACTCATTTGAACAAAATTTAAAGTGATTTCCTTGTGAGATTTTCAACCTTAGATTACTTGGAAACTTTGTCAATGAAAAACTGGGAACTTACGTGAAGATCAATTGTTCATGTCTTCTAGATTGTGCACTGTATGCTTCCAACATTAGCAATGATTGTGATGACTTTTTCGTTTTTACAAAAGGAAGGGTCATGTCAAATGTTATCTGATGTAAAGTTTATTGCATACTTTACATTTTCCCTTTTTTTTTTAATGGAATGTTGTTTCCAAACTGCATGCACACGACTGTTTTTGCTAATGCTTGGTTTACTCCCTTAGGTGGATGTGTGGTCATTAGGAATCACATGTGTTGAACTAGGTATGTTCTTGATTTGTTGGCAAGGTTTATAGTGTATTGCTCGGTAAATTGGACGACCTTTACATAAGTGGAACACATCTGTGATGGAATTGCAGTGATACAAAATTTTTGTGTGGCCACAATGCCATATCCACCAATGATGTGATATTTGTCAATGCTGATATCATATACATTTCATATTTCAGACAACAGGAATGTAGATAATACATAATGTGCCTTTAAATTTTTTTTAGCTGAGAGAAAGCCACCTCTTTTCAACATGAATGCCATGAGTGCTCTCTATCACATTGCTCAGAATGACCCACCAATGCTTTCTACTCCAGATAACTGGTACGTTGAACAACACTAATTGTTGAAGTATTTGTGAATGCACCTGTGGAAGACGTAGGTGTTGCCATTATTTGAATGTAATGCTTAATTCCCCTAGCAATGGATGGGTAGGGTGAAGGATTTGTCAGGTTTTTTTTTTTTTTTTTTGAGCTTATGCAGATGTAGTAATAAATCTACATTGTGTCCTCCAAGGTAGTTATTTCAAATTTCAGGTCTAATTTATTTATTTTTTCATCTTTTAATTTTAGGAGTGCAAGCTTTGTTGAGTTTGTTCAGCTATGCTTGAAGAAGCAACCAGCTGAAAGACCCACAGCAGAAGATCTTCTACAAGTAAGTTACTGGAGTGTGATTAAATATGTTTCTTAACTGTACATTTTAAAGAGCTTGGAATATGTGAAGTATGAGAAATGCCTGAAGAATTCTGCATTTTGACAAGGAAAATGTTACGGTGGGATCAGGTCAATAAAAGGTACTTGTAGGTTGTTTTGTCATGTTCAATACATATCTCATACGGTAAATCGTGTTTTTTTGTTGTCGTCCAGCATCCATTTGTATCCCAACCAAGACCCACAGGCATCCTCCTTGAGCTGATTGAGCGAACAAAACAGGCTGTAAGGGCCCTTGACAACATGAATTACCGCAAAATGAAGAAGATGATTATGGGGGATCCTACGGGGGAGTTAAGTGAAGAAGGTGACAGTTCTATTGCAGAGACAGAAGATGATGATGACAAGTCAGAAGCAGTAAGTTACTGTCAAATTTGCATGTTTGTTTCTTTCCATGTCTTTCTGTAGTTAATCTTGATAGAGAATTTACTTTGGAAAGTGAAGGCTTACCACAACTTGTAACCAGGCATTTCCCAATGGTGGACACTATTTGTGTAACAAAATGTGAATTTAACTTTTGGGCTTAAATATGGTTCTTTTCTGTTTTCGCACTGAAAACATTTTTTGAAATAGTAATGCACAAAACCAACCCTTACATTGATTAGCGCTTTGTGTAGCTTTTACCTCATAAATATCAAGGGTGCAGAGAATTGAAAAAAAAATGCATTGAAAATACATTAAGGCAGTGGACACAGAAGACACATGAGTAAGCATTTTATTTTTTTTTTCAAAAATGGACAATACAAACTCACACCATGGCTTGGTAAGAAAAATGACTGAACAAAGAATCAAGTGTTAACACAGTTGTGGTTTTGTGAGAATGAAACAAATTATCTTAAAATATGATAGAGAGACTTCTATAGAGAAGATCTGATTCCTTACTGATAGGTAAACCTGTGTTTCACTGCTTATTGGGAGGGTCATGTCAAGCCATTTGCTGGCATTTGCGAGATATCCACTGCCCTTCCCTTCCCTGTCTTCTTCACTCATCTCCATGGACGAAAAATCTGCAATAAGCTGCAATGTTGATATACATAATGATTTATACAGGGTGTTATGCATCTTTATACATTTCTGTGACATAATCTCAACTCAAAACAGTTTGTAAGAAATACTATAGAGATAGAGAGTGGCGGAGCTTGATTTCTGCCTTTTCATGAGTGGGGAGAGACATAGGCAAATCTCTGGGATGCAGGTTGATTCTTGAGCCTAGGCAAGGGCAAGATAAAGCTAGAACTAGTGCTTTTCAATTAAATTCCTTTTTTTTAAATAAAAAGAGATAATTTAACACGAGAAAAGGGAAGAGTAATTGTAAAATGAAGTAGCAAGATGATGGTGTAGTTTTCAGGTGTATGATCAGAACTGGGCAAAATGATACTGGTAGAGTGCTCTACTCAGTTGAATTGAGAATCTTCTCCCCTATCAGTTAACAGAGATTGTTTATTAGAATCTTCAGCCTACTAAAGGTCCTCTGTGTGTCTCTCCTATGTATGTAAACCTTAGTCTCTATTCATTGTTCCCACGTCCGCATGCCATGTAAACTTTGATGGGGTGTTGGAGGAAGGGGACGGCCCTTCGGCATCTGAGGACAGCTTGGCCTTCTCTGAAGACTCCTTATCTTCGTCATCGTCATTTCTTCACTTCAGATCTTCACAGGTTCTGTCTGCACATCTGTTGTATGCACATCCAAACCTTCGTCTAATTCTGTCATTGCATCCTTCACATCTCATCCTCATTGTTGTCATTGTGACTATATGTCTCATTGTTTTAGCAAAGAGAAAAAGATTCCTTTTATCAAATTTGTGCTGGTCAAACATCCAGTTAACCATGGCTTTTATCATAGTCAGTCGTTTGAAAATGAATCTTTTAGACACAAGAAAGGGCTCTCTTATTGTCTTAAACAATTCAGGAAGAATTCTTTATCTGCTTCCTTACATCAGACGTGTTACCACAAATGCTTCCCGTTACATATGTGATACTGCTCAGTTTTCATAAGTCCCTCAGAAAATGATCACATTGCACGCTCAAAGCATCTGAAGCTATACCTGTTTATGTTGAGTTAACAACCATTCCGACAGCCTTAAAAACTTTTTACAAAGGTAAAGAATACTCTTATTTACATTACCTGTACTTGTGTCTTTTGTGTTGCACGTTACTCATCAGTGACAGTTCTCTTATCACTTCACATTCTAATTCCTGGTCATGCTCTGTTCAGTTGAACATGTTTGACTTAAATAGTACTATTACTTAACTTTTTTACTGTCATTTACCCATAAAACTTTCCAAATCTTGAAACCTTTAAGCATTCTGTTAATGTTAAACTAGAAAACTAGACGGCTAAACGGACAAGCTTCTTATGTGTTTTCAGTAATTGTACGATTGTGAGAGTAAGGCTCGAATAGTCTCTCTTGAAGAATTTTTTTTGTCCAAATTAAACCTCCTCTCTTTTCTCTTTACCTTCTGTGAAGCTTTTCTCTCGTGAACAATGTATTACTTTTATAGGAGAGTAATCACCTGTTTGTGTAATTTTACCTCCCTTTTAGAGCGCCGAGATGGATAAGAACAAGAAAGCGAGTGTGAGCAGCACAGCTAGTGTTGCTAGCAGCACAGACAGTATACCAGGAGCCGAGCAAGATAATGATACAGCTGCGGCTGGAATTTCATCGTTTGCTGCTTCGTCTATCAGTGTTAGTGGTTTCTCGTATTATGTTTTGGGGAGGGGAGGAGTTACTTTTTCTTGTGGCAAATTAACTTTAGTATGAGCAATGCTTTTCCTCAAAAATATTTTTTGCAAACTTTGGTATCAAAGCAAAACTGTTTCATTATTAACAAACTAGTTTTAAAGGGGTAAATAGATTGTGACACACTACCTTCCAGCCTAGAGTCAGGCCACATGAGGACATGATTCGGTTTCACAAATGTGATACTTTCCTCCTTTCGGATATATTTTTGTCATGATATTTACGTTTGATGTGGTATACATGTAATTCACTTCGCTTAGGGGACTAACTGCAAATCACCGTTCCAAATAATTAATTAGAATATTCAGTGTCTTGATCACTTAAAATTGACATTTTTTTCCCTTCTCCTTTCAGTTGCAACAACATCGTGAAGACGATGACAGGTTTGCTACCATTCGCCCGCAAAACCTGATCGCCCGACAGCACCAGGAGCATAACAGGCAGGGCGATGAAATGAGGGATCAGCTAGAAGTGTACAAGAAGCTTAGGCAGACTCATCAGAGGGAAGTACTTGTACTCGAGAGCAGGCTACAGATGGAAATGAATGATCACCGCAGGAATCTTGATAAGGAATATGATCAGCAGGTACTGTTTATATACTGTACATATCTTGATGAGGGCGGGTGAATGTGCAGGCAGCAAAAATTACGAAACTCCTCGACTTGGAGATGTTGTCTTAATGGGCGAGAACATTCTCCGACCTGACACTCGAGGAAATTAAATACATCGAGATAATAGCGTTGAAACTGAAAGGTTAATCACAAGCCATCACTGAGCAGCACATTAAGTTCGGTTCAAGGCTTTGTTTTGTTTTCTTTTGAAGTGTATGGCATGAACTTGTGTGTTCTTGTTTATAAGGTACACCAGTTTGAAAGAGACTTGGAAAAACTACGGACCAGACACAAGACTGAAATGGAACAAAAGCTGAAACAGATGTCAGCAGACGAGAGGAGGTTACTGAAACACATCAAAGATAAACACGACAACGACATGAAAATATTTCTTTCCGATCAGAAGGCGGCGTACAAAGCGGCTAAGAACCAGTTTAAAAAGGTGAGTGTGTTATCCTTTTGCTGAAGCAACACTTTAGGATGATCAATTCTTTGATTAATAGAAACTGGTGTTCTTTCGTCTAACTAATCAAAGCGTTTGTTTTAACTTGCTATTGCAGGATCAGAGCAACCGTATGTCATATCAAGGCCAGAAAAATTCATTACATGACCGGCAAGAGAGAGCGCTGCGAGAAAAAGTGCACGAACATGAAATTGTGCGCAATGCTGAACTAAGAAAGTTCCGCCGCGAACAACTCCTGCAGCGACAGAACTTGGAAAAAGTGTTACTTACCGAGGTATGAGCTCTGCGTTGTAGGGCATTTTATACTTGGGAATAGAATCTTCTACGAATGGCGACAGGAGATTAAAGCCACTTGTCTAAAAACTCTACTGAGAATCTGCAATAGTATACAGATGAACATTTTTTTACTAGCAACTCGAGCAAAATTTAATTCAGCTAGGTTTTGGTTCAGCGGAGGAAATGTTATTTTAAATTGGAAAGAGAAAAAAAAAGATTCGTTTGTTTGTAAGGGGTATGTGTTGTACTCCTATTCATAAAAAAAAAGTCTGTGAAGAAGAACATCTTCAGTCCTTCATTTCTTCGATAATTTATTGATTTGATTCAGAAATTTTCATCATCTACATGTACGATCTGAGACACGATTTTTCTCGTCACGGACGAGTAAAAAGTTGGTAGTCACACTACTTTTATTCCTGTAATCTTAAAGTACGATTCAGAGGTGATACTCTAAGGAGATATTAGATGCTGGTCACTCTTCGGAGTTAAAGGGTTAACAGTCTCGTGATGAGATGCTGATGGTAAATTGACTATAACATTATAGGAGATGAACAAGCTGAATGAGCAGAAGGAATTGTCGCACATGATGTTGATAAGACATCATGAATGTACTCAGGACATGGAGTTCAGACACTTGAGCTCAGTACACAGACTGAGACGAGATCAGCAGCAGAACCAGCACCAAACAGAGTGGAACAGTCAAGTGGAATACAACAAACGGGTCGAGATGGAACTTAGAAAGAGACATTTGTTTGAACTCAAAATGCAGCCAAAAACTCTCAAGGTAAGAAGGATTTTAGCTACAGGCGCGCTGATAGCTAGCTAGAAATTAATAGGCGTGCCTCGAGGCGAACAATCCGCGCCCGCCTGGACTGCATCGTGTCATTCATAGAAAAGTAACAGAACGCTACTACTGCATGTTACATTTTATGCGGTGAGGGATATTTATACGAGTGAAGGTAGGGAATGTTTAATGCTGATGTTGGTGGCAACTATGTTTGGTAATTTAAACCGAAACTTACGCATGCTTTCACGAAGATGTGTCGCAAACAGTTCAACATACCGACTGCTCAGGTGCAGTGATCAACACCCCGACCGCCCAAGTATGTGCGCTAACGAAGAATTTGTTTACTTCCAGGCGCGCGAAATGCACATCAAGAAGCAATACAGAAACGCGATAAAGACACAGACGCTACAGTATAAAGCTCTGCAGAAACAAATATTGGAGAAAGCACCGAGGGAAAAACACAAGGAACTCACCAAGCAACTGCGCGAGGAGAAGATGAGAAAGATGGCAGATCTCTCCCTTCAGTACGATCAGAGCATTTCTGAGATGTTGCAGAGACAAACGGTAAGTTTGTAATAGTCGAATGGTCAATGACTGAGAAGGCTACTCATTTCTAATTGGTCGAAACCCTGACGCTCAAATGAACTCGCTAAAGAACGCATTTCGAGCGAGTTTTGTTAAAGCAAAAACAAAGAATTACAACAGCCGATCAGAACGAGCTAAGGCATCACCAAGAATCAATTAGTAACCAAAGAAAAAATAAGCGAACGACGAAGTGCGATTGGTTTAGTTCTACATCAGAGCGGTTGAAGGGATGGCGCGAGTCTTCTAGATTGATTTTGGAGCGAAGTAAGGCAAAAAGTTTAATCCTGGATAACGATCGGCACCCACTTGACAATTGCTCTAAAATATGCGGCTGAGGGATAACTTGTTTCTCGTGTCCTTTCAATCTTCGAATCTTAGCGCTTTATATCCTGATAACTGATGTTTTGATTCCTTTTGCTACCCAGTTGAAGCTGGACGAAGACCAAGTGCGCGAACAGGAAAATCTACGGGTCAAGCTGCAACAGGAGCAGGAGTTACTGAGCGCCTACCAGAGTAAACAGACCATGCAACTAAGGGCCCAGCACGAGCGCGAAGAGAAGGACCTACAGGAAAAGGTCTCGGTTAGAAGGGCCCTTCTGGAAGAAAAGGTATCTCGCCTGCTCATGCGTTGTGTATTCATGGAATCTATTCATCCAACGAATCTACCATACCAGCTCATAATGAAAGTTTATTGTGACAGAGATCGAAGGCTATCCCTTCTTTAGTACATTTTGTCAACGTAGATAGATCCCAAATTATGAAAAAGAGTTAATTTAATTGCTTATATTATACTGGAAATGCGCACCCTCTGATTAATCGAGTTACGTCATATCTTACCATAATCGTTCTGCGTGAGTTGATAATATACTAAAGCCACTGATTCCAAAAATGGCTTGCGCACGATTTTTATCAACTCTGATGAAAATGAGAGAAAATACAGTTGATCTGATAAGGAACTGAGTATTTATGCTCAGTGCATGATTGATGAACTAAAGTTTCTCTATAAATAATGCCGTGTCAGTTTTTAAAAGCAATCAGATACCCTTGTTATGCGTTTTCTAAAACCAATTTAAGTCTGTCTGGTAACGAAGTTGTTCAAGGGTGGTGTGTCTTGTTATCTTTGGGTTACTTGGATGGCTGGAATTGAAATTATAAATTTCTAAGGGCTGCTTCTAACCTAGATTTTTTTTTATAAGATGTTTCAAGAGACAACTCGCCTGCAGGACTTTAGAACGCAAAAGCAGGAGGAGCTAGAACTTAAGCACGTCAAGGAGCTGGAAGATTTTGACACTAACTCTAGTATGGGTAGTAGTGGGTCGAACACGCTCTCGTTGAAACATAGGAGTACCAGCAGTATTAGTACTGTGAGTAACTCCAGCACGTCAAGCACAAGAAGCACAGAGAACAACGGCACCGTGGTGCAACAGCAGACCAATGACGAAAGGCTACAGGTCAGCGCTGGCCCCTTACGGGTGTAACCAGCTGCAGTGTAGGACGATATGTCCTTTTCATTACATGAAGTATACTGCGTAATTAATACTCACTAGAGACCGGCTTCACGGTGGCGGAAATGAAAGGGAAATGTTATTATATTCAAAGTCTTAATGGAATATATTGAGCGTGGTTCCTCGGGGTTTCGTCCATGAGACAATCACGCATAGTTCATGTCTTTGCGCGGTATCCGCGCGTGTATGCGGCAGGGATGAAACTTAGCCTCTTTGCAAATGCTTCTGTGTTTTGTAACAAGTCAAGGAGGGCGTATAATGTTATTATTGTGACTTTAAGACACGTTATCTTCAAGTGGAGTTAAATTCGGCGAGGAATTCTGTATTGAGAGCAGCGCGGTCTATAAAAATTCATTTTTGTGAGTGTTTCTTATGGACGGCGCAACGGGCATATTGTTCTATTACCTCTGCTGTTCTTGTGTCTTTGTTGTTCGACTGTGCATTCCTACCGTTTCGTTTCCCAAATATGAAGTCAACGTGGGTCGCTGTACTGAAGCATGGCAGATGGAGAAGGGACTTTGGACCTGTCAAGAAGTCACCGTATTTCGGAGCTTATTCCATGAAGTTTTCACGATTACAAGAGATAATTTCCTGCAAGTCACCAGTAAGAGTGATAATTGCGTTTTTAAGAAAGAGCTCTCACGACTTGAGCCAGATATATGTTGTCTATTTTTGTATAATATCCAAAGGGTTTGTTCGATATTTGCTTATATCAGTTTTTCTCTCTTCTTTTATTGTTAGCTTTGATTGTTCATTGTTTGACTTAATTTTCGATGCATCATTTGAGAAGTGTTCGTTGCCTTTTGGAGACCCTGTCATCTTAAAATCTCATGCCTTGGGTTGACACTTGACGCGGAGTGTTTAAGGTGTACGAATCCCCCTTATGATGAGGCATGAAAAAGACCTTTTTCTCAGAAATTAGGGATCTAAGATAAATGTTCGGAAAAGAAAAAACCCTGTATCAACTGGTGTCTGTTCGTCATGATTTGACTGAAATGTGGAGTATTTGAGGAATTGATCACTAAAGGAAAATGTATTATTATATTTCAAAATTATGAAGTTTTGTCTATTCACAATTACTATGAAGTCCGGAAATTTTTTTGTCGTCCACATCAGGGCTTTTGCAGGGTAAATATTTCCTGTGAATTTAAAAGCAGTCAAGGCTGACAAATCAAAAAAGAAGTTCAGTCAGTGAACAGTGTATGAATAAACTTAACTTTTTCTCACCCAACCGGGTCTGATAGTTCAAAATACGACGAACGTTAATCCAGTATTGGATGTCAACAACTTTGTCAGTTTTACATTTCCCATCGCCTATTTCATCTTGCAGTTTTAGATAAGGAAATCGCTGTCGTTCAAAATCAACAGCATAACCTAGCAAATGATCTGCAAATAGTTGTGGTAAACAGAAGAATTTAGCGCACTTAATATTTTTGAAACGCATTCTTGATCATTGGAACCTAGAAGTATTGCGATTATTTCGTAGACTTGAGAGTTTTCAATAGGTTCTTTGAGCAGCGCCATTCTTATTAGATTAACATTCCCAATGAATAGTGCTCACCATAAATGTATGGTGAAACTGTGAAGGTAACTTCTGAGTCGATTCATGCGAGTAAGACAAGAAAACGGAGAGTCTCTCTTAAATATACAAATCGCTCATTTAAAATTCTTGGATCAGCACCATAGTATTTTGAACTCCCAGGCCCGGTTTCTCATATTTTTTGAGAACAAGTTATTTTATCATTTTCCCCTTAAACAAAAAGTTTAAAAAAAAGCACGATTACAATTGAGTTGTCATACTTTTTTGGCATTGAATAATCTCTCTGTTTCTTATTAGTGGAAGTTAGTTTTAATGAAGAAAGGATAGTTATTAACAATTTACTGCCTTGAAAGTCGTGCGTATTTAAGTTAATGATAAGCGGTATCATTTTGCTGTAGCTTGTCCACGTTGTTATCCTCAAAGACAGTTCATTGATATGTAAATACCTAGTCACGGGGACTTCGAAGTTTTCTTTTTTTCCCTTTGGATGCAGGTACGAAGTTGCTGTCTCTTTTCTTGTTAAATTCCTTAACAGAAGTCAACAGTGTCAAGATGCTGTCATCTGCATGTAAATATTTTAAGCCAATGAATTTGAATTATTAACTGAAAGTAGGCAATAAAGATTTTATTTCATCCGTTTTAGTGCTTTTTTTCCCTCTGTGACTTATGGGCGTGAGTCGGATTGTTCGTAGATGTTTAAAGTTAACATGTTCTTTCAAACTCTGAATTCAGTAGGGTTAGCGAGGTAGTTTGGAGCATGAGAGCGACCGCCACTCTTGACGCGTAATTACGTTCGCGCTTGGAACCATTGTCTAAGAGAAAATGAATTGTCTTTAGACACAAATTTGTGTATACTGCTTTACCTTCTAAGGGCAAACCCGTTTGCGACAAATCATAATGTAAACAGCAACGTCACAGGAAATACGCCCATGCATATTTTCCTCTGACCGCTTTAGGCAAAGTAAATGAACACTTGTCGTAACATCTCATCAGCAAGTCGTAGTTTACACCCCTTAAGAGTGCTTCAGCATGACGTCTTGTCGGTAACGTTCTAAAGCAGTGGGGTTACTGCGTTTTGATGGTGCGTGTTGTCAGTTTTGACCCTGGAAAGAAAGTGCAAAGCCTAAAACGGAGATATCGCTTCGTATCGCACCATATCGTTAGTCCAAAGTGCCTCTCATCCTAAGCAGGTCCTTACTTTACATTATTACATTTGTATTGCTTTGCCACCATGCCTCTTAGTCACAGCAGACTAAAATAAAACGGTAGCTAAGGTAACTTGACAATACTCCTTGTTGGTAAAAGTGGTTTCAACAGCTCCATGTCGATAGGAAGACCGAGTATCTGCCCACCTTTTGCAAACAATAATCTCTTTCTCCCCTAGTTTCTGCTTTACTTTCCGATAGTGTTTAAGAGTTTACAAAATAATGGGCTAAAAACCAGAAATTATTATCGTTTCCCTTGGATACTTTAATCGATCTAAGGTACCTTTTAGAATTTTCATTTCCTCACTGATGCTCAAATTCGACGCCTCCTCAAAGCTATTGAGAATTTTATGACGTATTGCAGCAACGCTACGAAAAACTATTTTAAAGAGACAAGAGAACGCCTCCTCTGAGCAACATCTCAGTCTGTCAAGCTGCGTAAACAGAACACATTAAACATTCGCTGTTTGTGTACATGTCTATTGAGAAAAACCAGTAATAATGTCTGACTTAAAAGTAGATACCTTTAAAATAAACCAACGTACATATATGGAAACCTTTTTGCGTACAAAACTAAGGCATCACTAAGGAAGGAGCTCAGTGAACTGTGATAATTGGCAACAGGTATCGATGAAGTCTCTGTTGCGTTTAACTGTCCAGAATTCTGTAAATAGTGTTAATTATTTTGCCTTTTACTCTTGAAAGACTCCTTCACTCAGTCACTATTTTTAAAGCAGTCAGGTAATGTGGTTGATCATTTCAATGGACACTACGTAAAATGGAAATAAAAGAAGTGTGAAAGCTTTCTAAACAAAGCATTACTCATCCATTCATTTCTGGGCTTGTTATCAATATCATTTAAATAGAAGCTTGATGAGTAGAGAGTTATTTTTGAACTACAGACCACCTAATACACCGGATTCTTTCGCGATCAAACAATAATTATCACTTTTCCAAAACCGACTTGACACATGTCAAGTGACGCCATATCAGGGTGGCGAATCATGTCTCTAAAAATAAAAATCGTGACTTGTTTACCTTAGTAGAGAAAGAGCTTTTTAAAAACTAGATTGGTTTCCTGCCAAGTGCACTTGAACTCTAAGAGAAAATTTTTGCTTTGTAAAAGATAAATTTTCTAAAATTTTTTTAGAAATTTTAGTTTTGGGAAAGGATCGTGATCCTTCGCTGACGAAAGTAAATTAACATATCAAACCATTTGATTTTCCTTTCAGTCTGTTTAAGCATTAGAGAACAGCAATTTCGCTGAATCAGCGGAAGGGTTGATCAAAGGTTATCCTGACTACTTAGCTCTTACACGATTTTAAATAGTTTTCCTTTGCTTTTGAGGAGTATTCAGCCTAAATGTAAAGTAAAATACAATCTGAATTAAAACGCGGTTTTTTAGCGATACTTCATTATGTTGAAATGTGAAGAATTTCATGCTTTCGAGCCGAAAATGTAGAAGGAAGAATTTTGCCGAAGGCTTGCCCTCTTGATCATTATTGGGATGAGGAAATTTTATTTTTTGTCTACAACAAGTAAATGTGACTTGAATGGCTTCTTTTTAAACTTTCAACGATTTCCTTAGCCTAAACCAGTTTTCTCGATGGAGGAATAATGTTCTCTGTGTTTGACTCAAAGCCTGGTTTGAAGGTTGGTTTAAGTTCTGTTCGTCGGAATATGAGGTTTTGCGTGCGTCACGTAACTCGAATTCCGTTTCTTTGTCACTTTCCTGCTCACTTCCGCTGCTTTAGCCAGAAAAGTCGAAAAGACGTGCTGCCGAAGACGCCGAATGTTACGTCACGCATTATCGAGACAAACTTCGGTTAACCTCGTGTTGCCTCGGAGAGAAACAAATTACAACTGGACACTCCACTGAGAAGATGAAATTATGAGGGCAGAGCTAGATTGAGGAAATTATGGACTACAGAGAAGCCTTCTTAACTGCTTGGAGGGACTTTCATCCGAAAGGCAAGCTTCCTGACACAGACTTTTTGCAATTTTGTGATTTTGATGGAGATTTCGCATCTGACGAACATGTTTTGGAGCGTTTCAATTTGTGCAATGAAAGACTTGAGGACGCTATTCGCGTGTTTAAAAGCGAAGGATTTATTCTAAAATGGCTCAGAGGGGTTCTTAACGTTAACATCTCTAAAGGAAGAGATTTAGAACTCGAAAGAGTGCTAAACGTGTTCTTTCCATGCGAACTGAATCAGCCTGTGTCGTGTCCGCAGGACATTGCCTCGCCTTCCGTTGCCATAGAAGACGTAAAAAAATCGGATCGGGACGATTTTGAGAAGTCGTCCCCGCTTGAAGACGAAGAGAAATATTTAAACAATACTTTTGCACCTGATGAAGAGTGCAAGGATTTTAGAAAAGACGCTAAAGTGATATTTCCTCCTCGTGACGAGCCAAAACTCGCTTTGGACGGAAGTGACGGGGAGTCGTGTTTCAACGACAACATACAGGGGACGTCTGGGGTCGACTCTGGTAAATTATTTAGTAGCGAAAATAATGAATTCGATGAAGAGAAAAGCTCGTCACACGATGGCATTAATATAGCAGAGGGTAATAAACTTTCCGCCAATAACAATACAGAAAAGGAAAGTGTAAACGATGTCGGGTTAACAAGGAGAAATGATCAGAGAGACCCCACGGGTTATTCAGAAGACGAAGAACCAGAAATGGGGGACGAAACGCCAAATTTAAATTATCCTGAACGAAAGAAACCAACTGGTCATAGAAATCGAGCTCTTGCCAGTGTTTTCTCACCTCTAGCGAAGGGGATCAACAAAGCTAAATCGAAAGGAAAGAGTTATTTAACGCGTCCGTCCGGCCCAAAACATAGGCGACATGATTCTCACGGCAGCACGACAAGTGGCGATGATGTGGACTTTTCAGATCATGCCGAAAGTAAAACTTCCGAAAATCTTGAAAGTGAAATTTTGTCAGATTCTAACGAGGTTGATGTGAAGTTACACGATATTTGTGCGTCAAATCAGTTTAATATGGCAGATGAAGGCGATAGTTGTTTGGCTCCTATCGATCGAGGAAGTCATGTTGACTTTACAAGACAGGGATTCTCGGAGAACAATGCTTTGGACAAGAAAGACTCAATCTCTGAGGAAGACAGGTGCAAGAAAGAGAAGATAGCTGAAACACCCGACGTAATTATCGAAGTTGTTGATGAATTGATATCCTACTTGGAAGGAATCGAGGTCGTGAGTAGCGATGATCTCGAAGGGGAATCGCCCCATGCGTCTGAGGGAGATGACTTTATGCTATTTGGCGGGGTAATAAGACCACGGAAACCCCTACGATCACGAAGACAACTCGATTCCGTTCTCTCTGCGGGTAACGTTAGTTTGATGAGCGCTGACTCTTGCATGAGTCCATGGGCTATAGATGTTGCTGTCTCTGAAATGCAGTCAGCTGATTCATCAGAACAAGAAGACAATGGAAATGATTCCAATGATGTCGGACCCACTGAGAGGGCTTCCCCTAGTCACCATGTAAAAGAAATATCCAAGCAGCCAAATGTGGAGGCTTCACCTCCACCTATCAGACCTCCACGGCGTAGTAAGACTGAGAGGCGGTCCCGCACTGTAGGCTCACCAAAGAAACTAGGGCCAGTCAGTGCTGATGATGATGATGTCTTTGGAAAAGATGACAAGGGATATGAGGGTATGTTGTGATCTTGCTTTGAGAGGAAATAATCAGAGCTTAAAATTGGATACTGCTGACTAAGTGGCACATATTTCAAAAATAGTTTTAGAAATGCACGAAAGTTATTTAGGAAATAATTTTAAGGAACACTTGTCATAAATGCTAATGATTGAGAAGCAAGATATTATCTTTAATTTTCTTTTGAAAGGAAAAGGTAAGCATTCATTTGAAATAAACATTGTTTCTTTTACAGCTAGATTTTTCATAGACTCTAGTATACTAAAGCCAATCTTTCAAAGAATTTTTGTCTGTATCCTAAGTTTGTTTATATTGTTATATTGTATGTGTTGAAGATATTGAAGAAGCAATTATAACTGTCTATATTTTTTTTCTTCCTCCTCCCTTTATGATAATATGTCATGGTTGTTATTGTGATAACATATTTTCCAACTGTCATTCAATATTTTTGACATGAAGTCTAACCTGTTGACGCTCTGTCATTACTTCATTTTCTCTTCTACATAAATTAGCACCAAATTATCTGTGTAAAAATTCATTTAAGATCAGAAAAAACAAACAAACAAGCAAACAAATGATAACAACAGCTTCACAATAATTTGGAATGCTTTGTTTGCAAAAGCCAATACAATACATTGTTTGAACTTATTATGAGGGCATAACGGACATAACAGACAGTGGATTTAAAAAAAATTATTTAAGGGTGCAAAACTATGTCAATACAAATTTTTTTTTTTGAGGTGAAAGGCAATTTTTTTTCACAAAGAGTTGAAAACAAATGTATGAGTAGACTTAAGGTAGGCTGGTACAAGATACGGAAGGTTTGAAATTGCTTTCATTTATCTTCCTGCTTTTGAAGTGATTAATTTTTTGTTCTACCTTACAAGGTGCCAAAAAGTTATGGCATGCATCTGTAATTTGTGAGCAATATGAACTTAAAATTTTCCGATGATTTAAAACTGTCTAGCATACACAAACAGTAACTCTGTTGAATGGCGAGAGGAGCTTAAAGTCATTGAATTAGAACAAGACAAAATACGGCTTTTCTTTACTTTCTGTCATGGACAATAACTGGCTCACATTAAGTGAGCAATGCATCAACTGTTGTCAGGAGTCACTAAACAATGGAAGGGAGAGTGTGTTTACTTTGTAAAGAGATGAAAAAAGGTTTCTAAGATTTAGTGACTGAAATAGTGTTAAGCAACAAGCAACAAAAGTTAACCTCAGTGTGTGTTGCTTTAAAAGCATACCATGGTTAGGTCTGCCACAACACATTGTAATTTCCTTTCAATTTTTTAAAGACTAGGACTTTCATTGGGAATACTGTATTGCATATTTATTAACTGAAACATTTTTTCTTGGAAATAGAAGGCTGACAGATGTAGCAAATGAAGGATCTCTCTTACCCAACTGCTTTAGGATGGTCTTGTTTTTGAATCATATTGAAACAAAAAATTAAATCATGATTATTATATTTTGATAATATGAACTGTGACATTTTGTGTTTAAGTATGATACTTTCAATTCAACAGGGAGGTTTTCAAAAGACATAAACTGTAACGAAAAAAATCTTGTTTTGTGTAAAGGTGAAAGTCCATTTTTCTTGTTATTTGTGATAAAAAAATTATGTTAAGAAAATAGTCTTCTATTATTTTATTATTTCAATACATTTAGATAGTTTTATGAAACTTGTGGTCACATAAGCAAACATCTGTTTTAAATAAGTAATATTTTCTTTCTGAACTTTGGATTTAGAGATTTCTGTTGTGTTTCTTTCTGTCATACAAATTTTTGTAAAACCACAGTTTAGTTGCCAGCTCAAAATTTTCAATTTTCTGCTAGAAATATTGTTACTCTCTGAAGAATTGTGATATTTATTGCTTTTAATTTGAAACCTTGAAAATTCCTGGTAATTGGCTCATTATATAGATTCACTTTGTGGTAAACATTTTGATAAAAAATTTCTTTCGTTTTCCCAACCTTAGCCCTTTCAAAATAAAGTTGGTCCTTAAGAGTGTGTCTCCTTAAAAGCAAAGTGCAGATCATGTAATTTGTTTTCACTATCTTTAAGGCTTTTCGGTTAAAGTACAGTTAAGATTATAATTTTTGTTTTTTCAATCATAAAAGAAAAATTGGTCACAAAAGTGCACTGATAATGTTTTCAATTTCAATTTTGTTGTAAAAGCTGTCTGGGTAAACATAAATTTCACATTTTAGTGGTTATTATCATAACAAAGGTACTGTCAGTACTGTCTCTGAAATCTTCTGAATATTTAAATAATTTGTTCTTTAACCTGACTAGTTTTTCATTTTCTTGGGGAGTCAATAGTCTTATTCATACCTCATTTATATGAACATATCATTAGCTGTTTGTGCACCTTTAAATCAATTTGCAAGTTGAAGTTAAAGCAATAACCTTCCTATATGAGTAAAAGGATCAAAACATGGCTGAATTTGCATAATGTGAAGAAATTGCACAACAAAATTACTTGAAAAGTATGAGATACACCTTTCTACAGTAGAAATAATTATGAATTAAAACAGCTACATTTGTTATACTATCAGCAAAATAGTTTTAGCATTCTTTACTGGTCGCTGACAAATGTATAAAAACATTTTTAGCTGAGTAGGATTTTAAATTTGCACTCTCTTGAAATTTTATGCTTTTAAAGAAAGATAAAAATGCTAATTTCTAAATTATTTTGATAAAAAAACATTAAGCATGGTTTACCTGTCAGTTACTGAATAGATCCATTTTGAGAAAGGTATGAGCATTTTTTCAATGAAAATTGTTTCCAGTAGTGTACACTGAAGACACACATAGTAGTGTTAATAAGTCACTTTGTTGAGAACATCTTGAACAAAAAAAATTGCATAAACTACAGATGTATTTCTATTAATGGTCACTCTTGATAAATTGAAAAGTTTTCAAATTCCATTTGCCTACAGCTGTTGCAGTTATGAAAACTTTCAAAACATTACACTTCCCCTTAACCTTGAAACACAGTCTTGGGTACATGGAATTTCCCATAAGCCAGATAATAATTATTATGATGGTAATAGTAATGGTAATAATAAAATGAATGTTG